CACTTACATCCTTTCTAACATTAATTCAAATTGAATACATACAAATTAACTAAAAGATAATTTTAGTTAATTAGCCCTAATGCATTAGGACTCTTAGCCTCCCATAATATACACCTCTCTTTCTATGCCTCATTATAGTGTACACTTAATCATTCAATAGGTAGGGTTGTGAAGTTTTTAATACGTCACAACATCTTTACATGTAGGAGAATAATTATTTTCATTCATAGAATTAATGGCCATAAAAATTACAACGAGCCATATATTGACGACATAATTTCTTAGCATAACAGCCAAAACCTTCCATCTTCATGGCATCCATTCACTTCCTCTTCACTTTACTCTCAACCATTTACCACAAAATCCTTCATTTTCTGTCTTATTGTTTGGTGCTCATGTATCTATTAGGTCTACTAATTTGCATTTGTTGTAGCTTTACTCATAAACTCCTCATATAAACACTCGTAAGTTAACTGACTATCTTCTTGGAGAACCATATTTTCTTCTTCCATAGGTAATGGAGGTATTGTTACAGCTCTTTGGTGTTAAGTAGTCTTTTCATTTTTTTTTTTTAAAAGAGAATTTATTGAGAAAATTAAAGAATTGCAAGAAGCAAAGAGGACAAGCCACATTTTGGCTTTAATCCTTCAAAACAACTCACTGTCAAAAACATTACAAACCAAGGCCCCAAAAAAACAAAGTCAAGGCACCATAACCTCACTAAAAGACCATAGCAGTCCCCTCGGGCTGTGTCTCTTTGTGCAGTATAATCACCATTCCACCAAGGCAGCAAGCCTATTCCAAAACACCACTCATCATTTCTACACTTCAAACATACCATTAACCACAATCATCAAAAACCAATATAGTTTTGGTTCTCAGTGTCGGCAAATGTCGCTGATCTTGGAGCAGCTTCATTCTAACAGCAACTGGTAAGAGACTAGTACCCGAAAAATCAGTAGAGAAACCATCTTGGACCGCCTTATTTGCCAAACCATCCGCTACAAAATTAGCCTTTCTAAATACATGTGTCAACTGGAACTGCATCTTAGCCAAAATCTGCATTATTTGAGTCAAAATGCCTATAAAAGGCCAAGCAGACTGCACCTCTCCCTTTATCGTCTTCTCCAGCACTTGAGAATCTGATTCAATCTGAATTTTATATACAAGGAGGCCATACTTATCAAGCAAACTCAAACCGTCTAACAAAGCTCTAAACTCAGCATCCATATTAGAGCATATGCCATAGAAAAAAGATGCAGCTAAAACCACTGCACCCCCACCAGCCATACCAGGGTTGCCCTTAGCAGCTCCATCCACATTTAACTTCAATGAACCACACTCTGGATTACCCCAGCAAACCCAAATGGCCTTAGTTCTGATCACATAAGGCACATTAATCCCTAACAAGAGCAGTAAACACCTTCCTCTTTCCCTATCCATCAACTTAGGCTTTATGTTTTTAACATGGAATCTCAACAAGCTACAGATTTTAAGGAAAACAGAATAGGAATTAATAGGACCTTCTCCAGCTCTTCTCCTACTCCGTTCTTTACAAACCAACCAGTAAATTAACAATGCCAAACTTCTTACAAGAGAGCAGCCCAGAGACTTTTTCCTAAAAATTCTGAAAATTCTCTTCATTCTCACCAACTCCAACTCCAACTCCCCCTCTATAAGCTGAAAGCAAGCCATACTCGCCAACCTACTCCATATTGCTTTTTAGCATAAAAGCAGTCCACAAACAAATGTACAAAAGTCTCCTCTTCACTTAAACACAGAGAACATCTGCTAACCATAGAGACACCACAATTCCTAATCCTGGCATCAATAGGTAAGGCGTTCATTAAAATTTTCCAACCCACAAAAGCTGTGCGCTTGGAGCAGTCACTATACCTCATATAACCTTTTCAACCCCATGCCTTTCCCCCTGGCCCCCGATGTCTAACCAATTGCCATGCAGTTTTGACAGAAAAAGAATCAGAACTGGAACACTGCCAAATCCATTTATCATCTGAATTAGAAAGAAAAGCCCCACAATTCTTAATCTCAGCAACTAACTGTTCACCTAACAAGTGCTCAACAGTCCCCAATTGCCAAACTGAGTTAACATACAACTCACTGACCTTAGGAAATACCAGAGGCAAACCCTTTATCCCAAAGAGCAAAGGCCTATCTGCTAACCACAAATTACACCAGAAGTCAGTATGATCACCTCTCCCCAACTGTACTCTGGAATTTAATAACAAATTCTCAAAGAAAGGCCACAAGACCTTCAAACACTTAGAATGTCCCCCTCTTACACATCTCAACAAATGTTTACCCTACAGAAATTTGGTAGAATAGACCTTAGCCCATAATGAGAATTTCTGCAACAGATTCCACACTTGTTTCATTCAGAAAGCCAGCTGTAAATCTTCAAACCTCCTCACACCTAATCTCCCCTCCTCCTTAGGTAACGTAACATTATTCCAAGACACCCAATGCCTCTTTCTCAGCTCCATTTTATTAGACCAGATAAAGCCAGCCATCATAGCATTCATTCTATGAATAATAGTTTTAGGTAAGTTCTGACAGGCCAGAATACGAATGGGAACAGAATTTAGAACATACTTCACCATTAAAATTCGATCCATGTTTGAAAGCATTTTGGAATACCAACCCTCCAATCTGCTTCTAAACTTAGCCAAACCTCTTCAAAATCCCTGATTCTAGCTCTCCCTTTAATAATAGGACATCCCAAATACATAAAGGGACACTGCTTAATTGGAATACCTGCTAAATTCGACAACTCCAACCTCCTGCTAGCAGAGATCAGCTTTGAACAGTACATGGAACTTTTTCTGAACACCGACTTTCTGCCCAGAACTACCTTCATAACTCTCCAAAAAAATCAGCAAATTCTTCATAGATCTCCTATCCCTTCTAAGAAATACCAATGTATCATCCGCAAATAAGAGATGTCTAACTAAAGATGAACCTCTTCCCAGGTGATAGCTACCCACTTTTCCTTCCAAACATAATCTCCTCATCCCTCTGCTAAGGACCTTTTCAGTAAGGATAAACAAACGAGGAGAGATTGGATCCCCTTGTCTTAACCCCCTGGTGGTAGAAAAAAAACCAACTCTCTGACTATTTACACTTGCTGAAACAAACTGGGTTTCTAAGCAATTTGCAATAATATTGACAAATAATTCAGAAAACCCAAAACATGATAAAGTTTTAAACAAGAAGTCCCATTCCAGCCTGCCATAGGCTTTCATCATATCAAGCTTTAAAATAACATTCCCAACCTCCACTCTCCTATCCAAATTCTCCACCATGAACTGTGCTAAAACCACACAATCCCCAACATTCCTTCCTTTAACAAACCCATGCTGCTCTTCAGACACTATTAAAGGAAGAATAGGTGCCAGTCTAATAGCCAATAGCTTAGTAGAAATCTTATATAAGAAATTACATAAGCTAATTGGCCTATAATCTGTAAAAGACACAGGATCAGTCTCCTTTGGTATTAAAACTAGTATAGTAGCATTCACTGACCAAGGCACCTTACCATCCCTTAGACAAAAATTAACAGCCCTTAAAACATCCCCTTTTATAATCTCCCAAGCTTCCTGGAAAAATTTTCCAGAATAACCATCCACTCCAGTTGCACTCTTCATAGACATCCAGAAAAAAACAGACTTCACTTCCTTTACAGAAGCTTCAACCACCAACAACCCATTCATTTCATTACTATCTAAAGAAGGAATAACAGAAAATAGACTCTCCTGTAAAGAATGAGACTCAGATTTATACAAAGTCAAATAAAAATTCACAGCCACCTCTCCTATCTCCTCCTCAGCCCTTACCCATAAACCTGCACCATTCTGAACCTTATCTATTCTACCTCTTACAACTTTACTTCTTGCTAAAGCATGATAAAAAGACGTATTTTTCTCCCCCTCCACAACCCATTTAATATTGGCTTTCTGCTTCCAATAAATCTCCTCAATTCTCAAAGCCTCATCCAATTCCTTCTGTGCTATCTCCAAAATCTGCAAATTTCTATCAGAATCATTCTGCTCAATGAGCAACTCAGATTGCAAAACAGCCTTCTCACATCTCTTAATTTTTTCAAAAATATTTCCAAAAACTTCTAAATTCCATTTTTTCAAATGAATCTTCAAGTACTTTAACTTCAAAAAAAGATTCTCAATTGGATTAGAAGCATAGTTTCCATCCCATTTAGAATCTACCAAAGGCAAAAAACTTCGATCTTCCACCCACACATCATGAAACTTAAAATACGAGATTCTTGCCTGAGCGACCTCCTAGACTTTAAGCACGAGAGGCAATGATCCAGCCCTCCTCTTCCCAGATGAAAGACCTCATTCTTTGCAAATCTCAAACACCAATCTGGGTTAAACAGCATCCTATCAATCCTTTGCCACATACGAAACCTCCCATAACGATTATTACACCATGTATATTGACAGCCATTAAACCCCACCTCTTGCAATTCAACAGTATGTACAAAATCACCAAACTCCTCCATTGACACAGTGGATGGATAAGCACCCCCCAATCTCTCACTTGAATTCATGATGGCATTAAAATCACCTCCAACCACCCAAGCAGCTCCACTGGGAATGGTCAGAGACAAAAGATAAAGCCATAATGGTCTCCTTAGAAGTGATCACAACAGGCATGGACTGTAGTGATAAACACCCTCTCAGAACCCAAATATGAAGCACTCACAGTCAAAGCCTGTTCATGTTGTGCCACCATCTGCACCTGCACTCTATCATCCCAGAGTAACCATAAATATCTTTCAGCCAGGGGATTGAAAAAATAATGAGACATTCCCAATCCCCTTGCAAACCCCTGGAACTTCCTTTCCTCCATTTTAGGCTCCTGAATCGACATCAAACAGACATCATTCATTCTTACAATTTTTCTAAGTCTCCTGCGCAAAGAGACTTTCCCAGCCCCTCTCACATTCCATTGCAAAAAAACTAATCATGAACTGAAAGAGGAATCTTACCTTTGGGCTTACGCCTAATGATCTTAGCCACATAATCCTCATCTGAGGAATTTGGCTCAGAATCTTCTGCAAAGTCCTTATCCATCCGCTTTGAATCACTTCTGCCACTGCTTACACTCATAGAACTCCCCTTATCGGACCAGTACCCTTTATCAGGTGGCTCTATTCTTCTCTCCATTCCCCTTGCAGTAGTCTTTTCATTTACTAGTTGTTTCTCTTTTTTCTTCCTGAATGGGCAGCGATCGTTCTTCATTTAACACCGACAAAAGCTATTCAGATACTCTGTTGATCTTGTTGCCTAATTGCCTCTTTGTGGCTCAATAGACACTGTACTTCTAAATGACCATTATTAGTAGCTTATATGGAATATGTAATTCTGAACAATGTTCAAAATTGTTTTCTATGAAGCAGTTACTTACAATAGCCTAATCGAATTTCTTTTGGAGTATTATGGGAAGGTAATGTCCCATATATTAGTTAAGCATCACGGTTGCTTAAATCTGATAAGTTTACTACCCATAGAAATTCATTTTGAAGACCCATGTGTCATGGCTTTGCTTTCATCCAGGATATTGATTTAGTGGTTCAAGTTTTAAACTCATGGAGACTAGATCGCAACGGGTACTCTATTTATAGTGTTCTTGTTCACTGTTTTTGCTATATATTTATTTTTTTTCTTTTTGCAAAATTTTGATTTTTTCAGAATCAATTATTAAATCTTGTAATAAGTCATTTCCAACTTCCAAAGGTTTGTGTTCCACTTTTTATAAATATATGGTCACTTTTATTTAATTCAGTTAGTTTTGTTGATAACTTCGGTGAAAGCCAAATCATGATTGGGGAACTTCACTAATTTTTTGAAGCAGCATCAAGAGGTGATGAGGTGTTTCAATAGATTTTACTATTAAAAGGTATTAAGGGAAGAGAACAAAGGAAACACAATAGAGAAAAAGAAAAACCCAAAAACATATAACAAGTTCGTAATATAATAACACATTTTTTTCACACCACTATTTAGTGGATGAGTGTAGGATCACAACTTTTTTGTGTTACTCAATTGAACAACAGTTTCCTTGGAATTTAGTCATGTCATAGATTGATTGTTTAATTGTGTGTCTCATTATTTATTGATCTCTTTTTAATTGCCTAGCTAGATAGTTTGTAATTTAGGTAAAAAAATTATGTAATCTTCATTATTTGTTTACGTCAATTAAAATGACAAGACAAAAAAAACACACACTTATTTGTTTTTGACTCTTTTCTTGTTTCCCTAAATACTCTATGGAAAATGTTAGTTCGTTTTTTCATGTATACCTTTATTTATCGTTATATCTTCTAATCGTGAATAATGAGTCTATATAATTAAAGCTAGAAATGAGTTTATGCAATGCACGTGTGTACCAACTAGTACTTCTAAAAGCTACTAAACCAACAAACTTTTGAATACCATAAATACCCCTAAACAATAATATAAAGTGAAAATTTTCCATTTTGTCCCTATAAAAACTATTATGTCCTATTTTCAAATACATAAATTATCATTGAGCAATGCTTGAAGGGTGATGTTTCCCTTTATCTCGCTGCGTTGTTTCTCACTCTCTCTCTCTCAATAGTTGATTGGGGTGCTCCTTCACGGTTAACGTTCCCTGAATTCAATTCTCAGGTGTGTGCTATATTCACGAGGATGTGAATTGGACTTCTTGATTCTCTTTGAAATACTGAAAGACTGTTTTGTAGGTTTGGGTGTGATCTACATCAATTGGGTTTGCCAAATCCTGTTCTATCATCTCAATGCAAGATTTGTTTTCTGGATTCGTGATGCATGCATGATGAAAATTTTTAGACGTCCTTTTTTGGTATGTAGACAATTTCAAAGGGAATGTTCATGTTTTTTATTTTTGACTTATTTTAGACGTCTATATTGATTTTTTAATCTAGCGGATTTTTGTTTACATTTGATAAGGAGATGGTATTAAATTGAGTATATTTGAATTACTGATTTACTAGTTGAAAACTGTCATTTAGTTCAAATTATTGGGTGGAATCGTATGCATTTTACTTAGGTTTGTATAGTGAAATGTGGCATTGGATTGGATCTGAGAACTTATATTAGCTTAGAAATATTTTGACATAAACTCTAAATATTTTTGTCAATCATGTAAAGGCCAGATATTTCTCAAATTTTAATATGTAATGATATAAAGTTTGGGTGAGAGTATGCGTGCATTTCTGCTTCATTATTGATAAATCAGTTGAATGTTAAATTGCTAAAGATGAGGGCTTGCTAATTAAGTGATGGGTTTACCTTTTGTTGATAACTCAGTCATTGCACCATTCACGAGTCTTTCCTAATATTTGTGTGGTTTTCACATTTCTTGAATCACCTGTTAATGGGAGGCTTGTATGATTTATGGTTAATTTTTAAAACTTCTGTATAAAGCCCCAGAAGTTGTGAAAACACCTAGATCATTACTAATGCAACTTCATATCAATGATTTTGTTCTAATGTATATAGATGAATTGTAGTTGATATGAATCCGTATTATGATTAACTACGTCATTTTTTTTTGCTTCGTGTTGAGCTATGAAATGAGAAGGGTCTAGATCCCAAAAACAAAAACCACATGGCTTCAAATATTAATTATGTGCTACTTTGGGCTTCTGGTACATATCCGATCTGCTGAATTCAGTTTTTTAGTGACGTTATGAGCACGGTGATCATGCCACTTTTTTATAAACTAGTTGGTGCACACACGCATTGTGTGGGGACTATCTTAAATTAGATTTCATGTATGTAATAAGTTCATATATATTATTAAAGTAACATAAAAAACAATATTAAAGCCATCACAAAATAGGAAAAAATGGAAAAGTATTATAAAAAAAAATAAACATATAATATCAAGAATGCTTGAAAAATTTCTTAAGAATCAATCAATCCAGTTACAAAATCCACATTACATCAGAGAAAAAAGATAGAATGATCAAAAATAAAGAACTCATAACATAGTGACGCATTAAAAATGCCCAATAACAGCTCTCAGTTCAAATGTCTCTAATAATTACACTATCAATTACTACTCATCCAACCTTACTTTTCGGGAAAAAAAAGTATCCAACCTCAATCCTCCTAGAACAGTAGTAATGCTTGACAAAACAAATAAACTTTCAAGAAAAAATAAGTTCATGTTGGATTCAATTAAACATCGCAATAACATACAGCAAATGGAAGCAAACATAGAGAAACTAATAGGCACCAAATCCATTACCTATAACTAGATTACAAAAGGGGGGATTGGTTAGATAAATGTCTATCAAGTATTTTATTCAATTCCATCATTGACGGGGTTGTAACAACAAGAAGAAGTTGGTATGGTGGTGCCCCCATTGAAGGCATTCACCATAATAATCCATAATTGATCCTTCCATGTGGAGATGAAGAAGATGTAACAATATTTATCGAATTAGCCAATCATCTATAGTCACGTACAACTCTATAGAAAAAGTCCAACCAAGAATCTACAATGCCTATCTTTGATGTCGGCCACATCCTGAATAAACTTGTGAAGTTTTTAAATACATCACAGAACATGAAAGAGTACGCAAACTTTGAGATCTTAACTTTGTGAGGTAATATATGAAATTGCAAGACGTATATGTAGAAGTGTGACAGAGAATAAAGTCATAGAAGGTGTTCTAGTCCTTTAACATTTTGTCGAACACTGAACAATAGTTTTTGTTAGGCAATAATTGAGTTCCTGTCTAGTGTCACTTTGCCAATTCCAAAACTAAGATGTTATGAGAGCAAAGAAAAAACCCAATAAACAATTTCATTTCCTTCCACAAACAAACAATGAATAGAGCTAAGTTTAAGAACACCTTCTTTTTCCACGTCTCAACCCACAAATAATCTAAGGCAACACACAAAGCATACAAGTCAAGTCTTTTACCACCCTAAAAATTCAATCTTCCATTTTAATAACAAGTTTACACCAAAACCCATCTCCCATTGATCCTAAAATCATATAATCTATCAGAAGGAATACCTTAGATCCCAAAAAATTGTGGTAACAATCTATACATTTTTTTTTTGGTTAAACCTCGACAGTCGAGGGTGCAACTTTATTAATCATTTAAAAAATTTCACCTAGTATGAGAGACATAATGAGCTCTACCCCTCAAATGCATTCTAAGCTACATCATTTCAAAAATATAAAATATTTTTAAAAACCAAAATGCATACAATTCATAAAATAAGGAAATTAAACCATGAAAAGAAAACATGAAAGCATCTATTTGAGGTCCTTGTGAACATCCCAACTGGAGCTGAATTCTTATTAAATTGGGAAGCTCATATCACAAACTTTTGAGAATATCTCTTAGATGGATTTACGCATGTTTAAACAACCAAGGAAATCATGGTGAAGTTGTTGACCTGTGAAAAATCCGCCACTGTGTTCCCTTCTCGATAAATATTTGTCATCACAAAATTTAAACCATGTAGGCGTCTTTGAAACCTAACCCATATATACCATATCTTCTAGCTAGGCATGCATTGGCTATTAATCATATTAACCATCTACCAAAATTTTAAAATCAAATTCTACAATAAAATTCCCCTTACTGGCACCATCCACATTTAATTTGAAACAACCCACCAGTAGATGAGACCATCTAATCCATTTTCTGTTATATTGCACTCTTTGGATGTTAAGACTACTCATCAGGAATTCCTCTTGGAAATCATCTTTTATGTTGGGGTAAATTTAAAACACATTCCTCAGTGCATCATAGAAATTAACCAGTCCAAATAGCGATTTCTCAGGTCACCGGCTCAAGTATGTACGTGATAATTTTAGCACCCGTAAAAAGGGTAGAATCGCCACAACTAAAAGTTTTAAATTAGGAAATCAGATTTAATAAATTTTGATAACTTTAATGAACAAGCTATGATAAGAGTCATAGCATATTCTTTTGCATTTCAGTTATACAAGATAAAATCACAAAATTTGTTGAAAAACAACCAAATGCATACTTTGGACAAGCACATCCCATTGTTGTTTCCAAAACTGCATTAACCTTTAACACGACAAGTTTTTCCAAAAGTTTTTTGATTTTTGTCGGATCTACACTCGTACATGTAAATACAACTTTCTTATGAAAGAGAACAATGGGATAAAAAAATAGGGTACATAATCACCAACCTGAGAATTACATCTTTTTTGGTATTGAAGTACATTACAATGA